AAGCTATTTGCAAACAATGTATTTGATGAAGGGTAAATACACAAAATATACAAAGAACTCATACAAGTCAACATCAAAAAACATACAACCTGATTAAAATATGGGCAGAGGACCCAAATAGAAATTTTTCCACAGAAGACATACAGATGGCAAAGAGCAATGTGAAAAGATGCTCAGCATCACTAATCAGCAGGGAAATGCAAATCAAAACCACAATGAGTTATCACCTCACAGCTGTCAGAATGGCTAGCATCAAAAAAGACAACAAATAATAAATCTTGGCCAGGATGCGGAGAAAAGGGAACCCCTGTGCCTTGTTGGTGGGAATTTAAATTGGGGTAGTCATTATGGAAAACTGTATGGAGGTTCCTCCAAGAATTAAAAATAGAACTGCCATATGATACAGCAATTTCACTCTTGGGTATTTACTGAAGAAAACAAACACCAATTCAAAGAGATATATGCACCTCAATGTTCACTGCAACATTATTTATAACAGAAGATATGGAAGCAATGTAAGTGTCCATTGATGAATGGATAAAGAAGACGTGATGTGTACGTGTACACACACACACACACACACACACACACACACAAAATGGAATACTACTCAGCCATAAAATATATAATCTTGCCACCTAGGACAACATGGATGGATCTAGAAGTGAAATAAGTCAGACAAAGAAAGACAAATACCGCATGATCTCACTTACATGTGGAATGTAAAACCAAAACAAACAGACAAAACAAAATGAAAAGAGACACATAGATACAGAGAACAAATTCTGGTGTTTGCCAGAAGGTAGAGGTGTGGGGTAGGGGGGAAAATAGGTGAAGGGGATTAAGAGGTACAAACCTCCTGATGTATAATAAATACGTCATGGGGATGTAATATACAACATAAGGAATATAATCAATAATATTGAAATAACTTATTATGGGGACAGATGGTTACTAGAGTGTGATGATCATTTCATAATGTATGCAAATGTCAAAGCATCATATAGTACACCTGAAATTTACGTATTATTGTATGTCAACTATATTTAAGTTGAAAAGAGTCATCAAGACCTGAATTTAGGGTGGATTATTAAGAACACATTAAATAAACGACCACCACTACAACAACAAAATTCAACCTTTCACACCGCCAAGATACATACCCTGCTAGTATCTTTGCTATGCTTGTTATGGGCTAAATTGTGTTCCCCCCAAATTTGTATTTTGAAGTCCTAACCCTCCAGTACCTCAGAATGTGATGTATTTGGAGGAAGAGTCTTTAACCAGGTAATGAAAGTAAAATGATGTCATTAGGGAGGGCCCTAACCCATTATGACTGGTGTACTTATAGGAAGAGGAGATTAGGACACAGACATACATGGAGGAAAACAACAGAAGACAAAGGAGAATACAGCCATCTACAAACCAAGGAGACAGGCCTCTGAAGACACCAATCCTGCCAACACCTTCATCTCGGACTTTTAGCCTCTAGAACTGTGAGAAAAAAAAATATTTTTGTTGTTGAAGCCAAAAGGCAATAACAGAAACAAAAACGGTGGTGAAACAAGACTTAAAGAAAGGAGACTGATAAAGAAAATTCTGGGGATAAGAGGAGGGGAAAAAAATCAGAAGATGCTAAATAGTTCAGTATGTCAAATGGAAGGAATGCTGGTCTAGAAACCAAAATGTAAAATGTAGCTGTTTTTATTCTGATTAGTTCTGACAGCCCTAATGGAGAGCATACTTCTACAATGCAATTTTGTTCATCTATTAAAACAGGATTCAGCCTTCTTTCCCCACTACAGAAAGCCTTAGAATTAAATTTGTCCATCTTTGGAATAGTGACGTTGATAGGTTTTCTAAGTGTCTGATGAACTGGCTGTAATGCTCACAAAATAAGTTCGAGATGACAAGTTGGATTCCTGAAGGGATATAATCCTGAAACATGTCAAGTTTTTGCTCACTAGAATAATTTTCTAAGTTGTATTGTCTCATTTTCCTGAGGTTTCTAAGAGGAAAGTAAATAATTCACCAAGAATCTTTGAAGAATGCTTTTGAGTACTTGAAAAGTACTTTGAAAGATCTTAGTACTTTGAAAAATCTTAATTACGACATGGTAACAACAACAAAACAATTATGATTGCCAATATCATGCCTATCACGACAGGCACTGCATGTGTGATGGTAACCATAGAAAAGAGGGAAATTATATACAATTAACATTTTCTGCTCAATAAAAGAACTAATCTATTGCTTTCACAGTATTCCAACATGGATCTTTTCCCACTTATTCACTGTTTTCAACCCTATATGAGGAGGGAAGGAGAGGAATTCCACACTTGGGATCCTGTTGCATACCTACATTTGTGCATATAGATCCAGGGCCACCTGGCCAAGTAACCTCCAGGAAAGGGGGGATAAAGAAGGTATAAACTAGTGATTCTTAAAGTGTGGTCCCCAAAGCAGCAACTTCAGCGTCTCTGGGTACTTGTTAGAAATGCGAAACTTCAGGCCCTACCCCAGACCTCTGAACTGGACACTGTGGGCGTGAGGTCCAGACATTTGTGTGCTGACAAACCCTCCAGGTGATGCTGAAACATGCTAAAGTTTGCTAAAGTTTGAGAACCAGTGGAGACATTTCTACAGTTGAAATGCCTCTTCCATTGCAAATAGTCTGGGCTGGCTGACATTCACTGCAAGGCCCCAGAACATTCCCATGAAGGCATCCCTTGGATAGTATGTACAGACAGAGCATCATCATGATGGCTCAGGGAAAGCACCTAAAGGTGCCCAGTCCCTAATAGTCCCTCAACATTCCCAGGGAAATGTTCAACCAACTTCAGCATTTTCTGTCTTTACTGCTCCTTCAGAGGGAAGTCTTCCAACTTTGTGGTTTGCTCAGAACAGAGCAATTTAGAAAGGAGGGTGTTGGGAGGCCTTCAGGAAACAGGCTCATGATTGGGCTCCCAGAAGCTACTGCGGAAGCATATAGAATACATCTTTTTCACAACCAGAGAGCATATATGATTGCTCATCTTGGATAACTTGCAAATGCAATTTCTCTGACAAGGCAATCTAAGCGCCTCTGCAAATTCCAGGATTCTGGAAGCTGTCACCAGGCCCAGCAAACATGGAGGCCTAAGTTCAAAGCATGGGAGTAGCAGGTACTTTATGTCCTCCAGAGCTGGACAGGGAAGGAAGCAGAAGAGGGGACAGTGGTGGTTTTTGCCCCAGAAAACACCAGGTATTGACCCAGGGCCTCAGGAATCAACATGGCTGCTTGACCCAGCAGACAGTAAGAAGCTTGAGGGGGCTCAGTCTTCCAGGGTTGAACACTAATTCTGTATCCTACACCTGTGGTCCTTTATCTTCCCTTCCTTGGCATGTGGTAAGTTTCCCCCCAAATACTTATGACTCACTCTTTCTCTTCAGTTCTCTCTTTGCTCCATGTCCACTGGACTAAATTCTACAGTAGAAAGAGTACAGGCATCAGAGTCAGCCTTAAGCTTGAATTTAATACTCCACCATTTGTTTTCTAGTTGTGTGACCTCATGTACGCTTCTTAACCTCTCAGTCTCAATTTATTCACCTATAAAGTGGAATTAATAAGGCCTACCATCCAGGTTGTTGTGATAATTAAAACAAGTATTGTAGGTAAAATGTCTGGTGTATGGACACACTCAAAACATGCTGCATTCTTTCTTTCCCTCTTCTTTCCACCATGCATGTGTACAGTTGGGAGTATTTTTTCTTTTAAGCTACTGAGGCCAATAGGCAAATGAAATCATTATATCTCACCAAGGAAGAGTAATTTGTTTTCATGTACTGAAGTAGGACAAAGACGCAGCAGAGCCTCAGCCCTCACAAAACAGGACAGACAGACAGACACACACACACACACACACACACACACACACACCCCTCTTTTTATTTGTGTAAACGAGGATCTGGACATTTAACTGAGAGGTGGAACTCTGAAATTAAATACTGTGTGTGGAAAGGATCTGACCATTGCCCCCAGTCCCACTGCAGAAGCCTAAGAGGGGCATGTGATGCTCTGTCCTAAATGCCTCTCACCACAGTGGTACATGTACATCTCCCCAGAGGGACCCCAATTCCCCAGTATATCCATTGAGACTAGGTTGTAATAAACCATTGAGCAGTCACAGTTTAAAGCACACAACATAGCCTTCAAGTTGCTGGACCTGCCCAGCCTCCCCACCTGTCACCAAGCAGGACCCTATGGGGCTTTCCCAGAACAGCCTTACCCCCTCACCCCATCATGTTCTCCACCTGCCTCTTGTCTATAGAAACACTTTAGCCTCCTAGGCCTTCCCTGATCTCCAAAGAGTAAATTTAATCAGCGAGGTGAGAAAACTCAGAAAGGAAAACAGTCAAGCAAGACAAAATAATAATAGTTTAGCTATTAAACAAAGTCAAGGACCTTTAGTTCCTCCTCAAGGACTATAGATAATATTCTGAGCCACATCTTTTGAGCTGTTTTGCAGAGACTGAAACACCCACCAGGTGGAAGAAGTTAACTGTATGGTGCCCACAAGCACATAGACCTCAGATGGGTTGGAACCAGAAGGTTCATGAGGCTGATGATGTTGACTCCCCATTACTGCACCACCAACCAATTGGAAGAATGTCCACAAGCTGATCAAAACCCCCTCCCTCACCCTGTCTTTAAAAACCTTTCCCTGAAAGCCTTCGAGGAGTTCAGGCCTTTTGAGCACTAGCTACCTGGACTCCTTGCTTGGCGCCCTGCAATAAATGCTGCACTTTCCTTCACCACAACCTGGTGTCAGTAGATTGGCTTTACTGTGTATGGACAAGTGACCCAAGTTTGGTTCAGTAACACACCCAGTGGAAGGTGGCTGAATGGCGGCCTGGCACTGGCTTGATACACATGTGGTCTTCCCCGACATCTAGACTCACGAGGTAACACAGAGATTCATGGTTGCCAGGTTGTCCAGAGGGTGTACTAGGCGCCGTACCTGGCTCCAAGGCTCCACCTGCCACTCCTCGCAGGGCTCCAGGTTGCAGCTCATGCTCAGAGGAGGAGGAGGGCCAGCCAGGAACTGGCAGTGAAATGGCCTCAGGCTGCGGTGGTCCCGGCTGTCCACACACTGAATCTCCCGGATCTGGAAGCCCCTGCTGCAGTTTCTGGAGCACTGTATGGAGAGCGAGAGAAAAGGGGACACCTGAGTCCTTGGCATCAGACCGTCCATGCCCGGATTCCCAGGGGTTTCACAAAGCATCACGAAGTTCCAGGCTTCCAGTCATGAAGAGGGGTTAGTAAACTGTCTTCCCTCAGAAAGGGAGTCACTTGAGCAGCTCCCCAAGAGGGGCCTCCCAATGTCAGAAAATGCAGGTGTGGAAGAGTGAAAACCGGGTGAAAAGTCCAGTTCTGTCACTCACTCATAGTGAGCCCTTGGGCGAGTTGCAGAAACATTCTGAGCCTCAGCTGTCATATCTGTAAACTGGGATAGTAACCGTTACCTATGGGGCTGTTGCGAAGATTACAGCTGCAGGGGTGGGCTTGGGGTGAGGCTGGCGCAGCATCCTCTCAGTGGGTGGACGTTCCCTAAGATGCCTGTGTTCATTTGAGGCAAACGGAACTGCTGTCAGGGGAGCCCTCTGCAAAGCCACAGCCAACTGTCCCTCAGAATCCTGCT